GAATTTATGTACTTAAAAAATGCTTTGGGGTTGGTTTTGCTCTCTTCAGCTATCATTATTTCATTTTGAAGTTTAGCAAGTCTAATTGCCTTTTTGCACGCATTATTTGCATCCTTATATCTTTTTATAAGATGCATCTGATTTGTCCGATTTAAATGCTTTAAATGCCCTTTTCTTAGTTGTAATCTCTTGTTTTACTTCTCTACTAAGCCACATTGGTTTTAATTTGTTTCTTTTATATTTATTTCCCAACGGTACATACTGAGAAATGTACCTTTTTAATATTTGTTGGAAGATGATCCATTTATCCTCAGTGTTCTTTTTAAAATTATATGTTTTAGTATTCCCCATGTGCTTTTGTTTTTTTTAGTTTATTTCAAAGGACACTATATTGTGATCACTATTTCCCAAGTGCTCACCTACTTGAATGTTGGTCAAAAGATCAACGTTGTTTGTTAAAACTAGGTCCAGACAAGCATCCATTCTAGTTGGTGCTTGTACAAGTTGTGACATGAAGGTGTCATTTAACAAGTTTAAAAACCTAATTCCCTTTGCTGAGGCACTAGTCCCTCTGTCCCAATTTATATCTGGGTAATTAAAATCTCCAATAATTAAAGTGTTACCCAGATTTACAGCTTTCTCAATTTGCTCAAACAGCTGTTGTTCCTCGTCACAAGGAATAGATATCCACAATGCTGTGATGGAGGCTTTTTTGGCACAAGAAATAAGACCAGAAAAAGTGGCATCAATTACTAGTGACAGAGCACCTTGCAAGGTTGGGGCAACATCTAGTTTCATACAATTCTTTGTTAAAGAAGCAAATCATCCAGTCATACAGTTTCATTGTATTATACACCAAGAAGCTCTTTGTGCGAGGGACAGCAGCAAAAAATTAGAAGATATCCTCAAAGATGTCACTAAAATGGTGAATTACATCATGGCTTGTGCTCTTAATTTGACAGTTTCAAGCACTTCTTGATGAGGTACGGGCACAGTATAACACTTATGTACAATAATGTCCGGTGGCTGAGCAGAGAACAAGTCCTGGAGAGATTTGTGGCTTGTTTGGATGAAATTAGGCTGTTTATGAATGAAAAGGGGCAAGAATATCCCCAGCTCACTGATACTGCCTTGCTTATCAACCTCGTGTTTTTTTTTTTTTACAGATTTTACAGCACACTTCAATGTACTGAACAAAACACTGCAAGGTGTAGGGAAAACAGCAGAAAGGATGTTTTGTAATAGGAGAACATTTGAGAGAAAGCTGCAGGTTTGTGAAAGAGACATTGAAAGTGGGCAGCTGAAATACTTTGGAAATCTAAAAATACATTTGGAAAATTCTACAATATTTACAGACAATTCTCCAAGCCATCAGGAAATCCACAAGGAATTTTCTAGCATTGTAGCAACTGCTAAGGAGAATTTTAGTAACAGATTCTTGCAATTCTGGAATATGGAGACAACCCTGTATTTTCTCACTTCTCCAGATAGATAAAGCCACATATGAAGAGCTTGATATTTCCTGCTTACACTGGTTAGATTTAGAAAATCTGGAAAGGGAGCTATTAGAATTTCAAGAAACTTCTATCTGGAAAAATAAATTCTATCCCCTGCGTGCCACACTTGAAAAGATAGAATGTGAAGGGATGACAATGGACAGCACAGTTGGTAGTTCTGAAAATGAAATCCTTAAAGTGTGGAATTCTCTGCCGAATAATTTTAAGCCAATGAAAGCACTTGGAATTGCTCTTCTTTCGTTTTTTGGGTCATCTTATGCTTGTTAGCAGCTGTTTTCAGCATTGAAATATATCAAATCTGATACCAGAAACATACTAACAGATGAATTGAGTGCTGCATGTGTTGCTCTCAAACTAACGGAGTCTGAGCCAAGATCTGACAAATGTGCAGCATGTATACAGCAGCAAAAATCACATTACTTGTGCAAAAGCATGCCAACTGTGGCTTTTACTAATGCAGTGTTTGTGTCCAAGACACTAATTTAGGAGTTGTTTACAGTGAGTTAAGCAAGTTTATTTTCCTGGTTTATCTTGCTCATCCTAATTCAGGTTGACATTTACTGTAACTGTAGAAGTAGAGAAAGGACCCAGAGTAAGGCTTTCCTCATACAATTTCAGTCTGGCACGTAATCATATTACAAGTCAAGTATCCCCTTGTATGAATCTTTGGCACAGTTTACATGCAGTTTTGGTGCAGCTGGATGGACAGAAACCTGATGAAAAATGCATGTCCATTGACATACATAGAAAGCTGCACCAAAACTGGATGTAAGGTGGATGTAATTCTGATGTAAACTGTGCCAAAGCAGCATGCAAGATGCATGCAAACTGCAGGTGGATAGGTGGGAATAGGTCCTTAATAAGGTAAAGCACCACCAAACACCAGTGTGTTTTAATTTACTAGAATTGATGTTTTTTCAATTTAAAAAAAAAAAGTTTGTATCACTGAACTCTTTGTTGTTTTATTCTTCTTTTAAAACAAAAGATGTTGATTAGTTCGGACTAGTTAGAGTTGTTTTTTCTAAACTTAAACCTCAGTATTCAGGTTTAATTGCCATGTTGGCACTTTGAGGAAAAAAAGTTGGCATGTATTGAAGTTTGGGCACTCGGGCTCAAAAAGGTTCGCCATCACTGCCCTATGATCTGGCTATACCTCTGACTTTGATGAGAAAATTCTTTAGAGATAGGACGAAAGAAATACCACACACACACGCAACAAAAGAAATAAAAGGAAGAAATAAAGAAGATTAACCTTAAAGGGAGAAGATCTAGCATAGGAATCCAAAAAAGGCAGAATAGAAAAAATATAGGGATCCCACTAATCAAGAAACAGGTATTTTTAACTTCTCCCCCCCAAAAAAACAAAAAATAATTTTCTGCACAGATCGCTGTTTTAAGAAAAAGCCTTAAGTATGCCCCAACATGCACATTTAACCAATTTTCTACATACTTTGATGTAAACAAATTCATAAGACAGGCCACAAAAAAAAAAGGTTCTATACAAGTCAAAAAACAACAACTGATACTGTTAAAGATGATAGTGTACACCTTCCAAATATCACACATACACAACTAAAACCCAAAACTACTTTCTTTCCCTACACCCATAAATCAGAGTGGCTGTAAACATTTAAAAAATTTGTAGTTCGTGATATGAATAAAATCAAACCTCAAAAACAGAATAATAATCTAACAAGAAAATAAAAAGAGATTTTAAAAGGATGTATACATGATGAAAGCCTAGTGATCAAGCCTGCTGACAAGGGTAGAGGGTTGGCCATCATGACCAAAGAGAAATATATAGAGGAAGCCCTTAAACAATTACATCAGATTTCTCTAAATCTTTTAAATAGAGGAAGAGAGAATAATTTAAACAATTCTGAATACTCTTACATTAATATACAATTTCCAACAATCCCAGTCATATATAAAAAATACAGTCAAATACACTACCAACCCCCCTAGCCACCCTATTGTCTCAGGCATTAATTCTATACTTTCAATCAAATTTATCTGAATATAATGATATAATCCTTCAGCCGTTTGTACAAAAAACTAGATCCTACTTAAAAGACAGTATGGGCCTACTCCAAATTAAACAATATTAAATGGGAAAATGACTACATTTTAGTTAGTAGTGATGTTCAATTACTATACACATTATCCCTCATGATATAGGTTGCAGCGCCATACAAAATTCAATAGAAAAAGAAGGTAACATATCTACCCCCCAAATAAATTTTATAATAGATGGTGTTCATTTAATTTTAAACAATAATCATTTTTGGTTTTATGATGCATTTTATTTACAAAACGGCACAGCTATGGGGGCTAGGTTTGCCCCAAGCTATGCAAACCTCTTCATGGCGGACTGGGAAAATTGTGCCGTGTGGCGTGATCATAGCTGGGGTGCAAACCTGGTCCTCTACCAACGCTATATCTGTTTTTAATCTGGAAAGGTCCTGATCCAGCCAGTTTTTTTTTTGACAATCTTTATTTAAGAGTATTATAATGACGGTACAGTCAGTCAGGGATAAACAAGTAACATAAGATAACAAGTTCTGTTAAGCTAAATCAGTTGTGGTTATGCGATCAGTCATGATCACCATTTTTTGTTATACATACATTTATTCGTAATACAAGAAACTGTTATTGTGCCCGTGGAACCATGCCGAGATAACTGTGCTAGAATTATTACATTGTCGCCTCGGGTAGGCTCAGGTGTGGTTGCTTATTGTGTAACGAGTATACTCATGAGGTGTATCTCGTGACCTGATGTGGTCTAGCTTATTCTTTCCCAAACCCCCTTATACAGTTTAATCTGAGCGTAGTAGCATCCTCGTTGGTAGTACCCTGGATTGTCGATCAGTACGTGGTCTGACGTAAGTCGAGGTGCACTCCTTTGGGGGTGGCTGGGTGTAATGCATTGCATGTCCCAACCCAGTGGTAAAACAATTATCTACTGACTTGTGCCCAGTGGTGGGTGGAGAGGGGGTGAATCATAGAGACCCACACCTCCCAGGTAGGTTGGTGGGTTTCTTGTCCTTTTATATGTGGGGGTCCAGGCAGGGCTGTCAGTGGTCATTGCCTTGTGAACCTTAAAAGAGGTTTGTATTTAGTCCAGTGTGTGGGGAGTCTCTCGGGGTTTTAGGGTGAAGGGCATAGTGGTTAGAGGAAAGCAGTAAATGTAAGAAACAGGTATGGGGGGTGGGTGTTTCCCCCTCCCCGTCCCCCCATCCCCTAGCCAATAGTGAGGTTGTTTGTGTGTCCAATGCTCTAGGGTCGGTGGCCCTTTTCTCTAGGGGTTTTCAGGGTTTGGATGTCTGGGCTGTCCGCCACCCATCTCTGAGATATTGGACACCCAAGTTAATGTGCGTCCGTGAAGGTCTGGAATTTCTTCTATCTCTATTACCCGTTGCTGCAGGGTGGGCACCTCCGGGCGCTTCCAGAGTGTGGGTATGAGGGACTTTGCGGCGTTAAGAAGGGGAAGTGTCAGTGATTTCTTGTATGTTCTCTGAGTGTCTGAGTGGTATGGTGTAGGAGCATTGTTAGAGGGTTTAAGGCTATTTCATTGCCTGTAATTTCTTGGATTTTGGCGCGGATCATTTCCCAGAATGGGGCAATGGAGGGGCACGACAACCAGATGTGGGGGTTTGTACCCGCTTCCGAGCCACATCTCCAGCATGTGCCTGGTATGTCTGCGTGCATGTGATGTAAGACATCCAGTGTCCTGTTCCATAGTGTGAGAAGTATGTAGCCTTCTTCCTGGTATCTCGAACTGATAAAGCATTTGTGCATTAGTGTGAATATTTTGTCCATTCTTGTGTGGTGAGAGTCGTCCCCGTGTCTCTTTCCCATTTGCTTATCCTACGTGGGTATTGCTATTTTTTTATTGTCGTGATCATGATGTATAGGGTCGATATGCCTCATGTGAGGTGTTTCCGAGTAGTGCAGAGATGTTAAAAGCTAGTGAGTGGTCTGTGAAAGTAACCCATGCCCATTACTGTCTGATAGTATGTCTTGATTTGATGTTTGCGAAATTGTTCAAGTACGGTCTGTCTTCTGTCTGGGCAGAGCTCCGTCAACGTCATGAGCTGGGTGGTGGTGCACCATTGGTGCATGTAACCCAGTTAGTTGATTGGAAGCCAGTCAGGTTGCCTGGTGTAAGGGCACCAACTTAGTCTCGGTTATTTGTGATAGGTGTGAGGGTGCAGTTGTAAGCTGTCTTCGGTAATGTAGGGTGCACCAAACCACCAGGGTTGTGTCTATCAGGGGATTTCTGTGCGTAGGTCACTGATCGTCAAGTTACCTAACCACAATCTAGAGGGGAGTTTGCCTTCTGCCCGCAGAGTTTCCATGGCTACCCATTGTTTCAAGGGATGGCGTATGTGCCAGTCTACCAGACAGTACAGGTGTGTGGCATGATAGTATGTCTCGATAGATGGAATTCCTGTTCCGCCGGCGTTTTTTGGGAGTTCCAGTACTGTTCTCCTTGTACTCGTGGGGCGAGAGTTCCACACGAATTGGCGGATCGCCATCGTAAGAGCTGAAGCATGCATTAATGCATTAATGTGGCCAAACCAGGATAGGTATTGTGGGGTCTATTTCTGCAGGTCTGCTCGTATTGTCTGGATTAGTGGAAGGTAGTTGTTGGAATAAAGCTGTGTAAGATCTTTTGGGAGCCAGATACCTAGGTAGCAAAGCTTGTCTTCGCACTAGCGAAAGGGGTATTGGGAGTGTAGGTGTGTGGACGCTTCACGGCTATGAGAGGAGGAGCACCTCTGATTTGTCCATGTTCAGTTTCAGATCTGAGCCTGCCAGTAGTAATACAATTTATAAACTTTTTGAACCTTAACAGAGGAATCATGTTGAGCTGCAACTATACACCCTGTACCAAGTTATTATGCAAATTCTATTTAAGTGTCACAAAGATTAAATATTTTGTTTTTCAGTTTAACTCATGGATGGCATTGTGCCTCAGGGCTCTTTTAAAAACTGAAAACAATCTCGGACACTTGTGATAATTAGATTGCCAGGTGAGCCAAATTTAAGGAAAAACTACTAAAGGAGGGTGTTCCGCATTATTAAGCAGAGCACCATTTTCATGCAATATGGGGAAGAAAAAAGGATCTCTCTGCTGCCGAAAAGAGTGAAATAGTTCAATGCCTTGGACCAGGTATGAAAACATTAGATATTTCACGAAAACTTAAGCGTGATCATCAAACTATTAAGAGATTTGTGGCTGATTCAGAGCACAGACGGGTTCATGCAATTAAAGGCATATTGAGGAAGATTTCTGCCAGATCCTTGCATCGGATCAAGAGAGCTGCTGCTAAAATACCATTACATAGCAGCAAACAGATATTTGAAGCTGCTGGTGCCTCTGGAGTCCCACGGACATCAAGGTGTAGACTCCTCCAGAGTCTTGCAACTGTGCATAAACCTTCTATTCGGCCACCACTAACCAATGCTCACAAGCAGAAACGGCTGCATTGGGCAGACAAATACATGAAGACTAATTTTCAAACAGTCCTGTTCACTGATGAGTGCCGTGCAACCCTGGATGGTACAGATGGATGGAGTAGTGGATGGTTGGTGGACGGCCACCCTGTTCCAACAAGGCTGAGACGTCAGCAAGACGGTGGTGGAGGAGTCATGTTTTGGGCCGGAATCATGGGAAGAGAGCTGGCCGGCCCCTTTATGGTCCCCGATGATGTAAAGATGACCTCTGCAAAGTATGTGGAGTTTCTGACTGACCACTTTCTTCCCTGGTACAGAAGGAAGAACTATGCTTTCTGTAATAAAATCATCTTCATGCATGACAATGCACCATCTCATGCTGCAAAGAATACCTCTGCATCAATGGCTGCTATGGGGATAAAAGGAGAGAAAGTCATGGTGTGGCCTCCATCCTCCCCTGATCTCAATCCTATTGAGAACCTTTGGAGCATCCTCAAGCAAAAGATCTATGAGGGTGAGAGGCAGCTTACATCCAAACAGCAGCTCTGGGAGGCTATTCTGACATCTTGCAAACAAATTCAAGCAGAAACTGTCCAAAAACTCACAAGTTCAATGGATGCAAGACTTGTGAAGCTGCTATCAAATAAGGTGTCCTATGTTAAAATGTAACGTGACCTGTTAAAATGTTTAAAAAGTTAAAATGTTGTTATAAGTTTGATTGAAATAGCTTTTGATGTCAGTAAATATGTTGCAAACACAACAAATGATAATTTTCAGTTCTTTACAACCTATAAAGTGTTTTGAAACTTACTGTGTGTAATAATTTGGAACAGTGCATTGTACTTTTTTATGTTTAAAAAAAATACTGTTATCATTAGGAGGTTTGTTCAATAAAATTTGAATTGTACTCTTAATAGTTGATAACATGAAAATTATGCTGACTGTTATTTACATCAATTATTTAGGTAAGTGAGAAAAATATAATTTGCATAATAATTTGGAACAGGGTATAGTAAGACTTCTAATAATTTTCTAGGGCTTGATATCTATGTTGAAAATAGCATTTTAAAAACCCAAACTTTTTTCAAAAAAGTACACATAAACCCATTTATTGACCTTACAAGCTGTCACTATACCCCATTGGCTGAATACTGTAACCAAAAGTCAGTAATTATGACTAAAAACAAACTGCACTGTCCAATGTTTTTAAAGCCCAAGCTAAGATAAGCTAATTGAAAAAAACTATTAAGCTACTAACCTAGACACACTAATCGAGAATGTTGGGAATCTTGATAGAGATACTCTCTTAAAATACAAAACAAATGAGAAAAAAAAAGTGATATGATCCTCCCTACAGTCTTTGACTATAATAACAAAAGCCAACACATAAAAAAAGATTATAAATAAACACTGGGATATACTCAAAGAGGACAAAATACTAAAAAAATATTTACCATCTAGACCCAGTGTTGTTTTTAGAGGAGCCCCAAATTTAACCCCTAAAGGACACATGACATGTGTGACATGTCATGATTCCCTTTTATTCCAGATGTTTGGTCCTTAAGGGGTTAAAATAAGTTTTAACTAAAAACTTCACTAAAAAATCCACTGCATGTAAAACCACCTTTTTAAACAAGGTTTTTTTTTTAAATGAAAAGTATGCTCCGTCTGTAGAAATACCGATAAATCTTGTTACACAACAGCTAAATTTAGATCAAATGTCACTAAGAAGGAGTATGAGATTAACCACTTAATTACATGCAATAGTAAAAACTCAAATTACATATTGGAGTGCACCTGTGGCCTTCAATTCATAGGTATGACCACTAGGTGTCTCAAAACAAGAATAGCGGAACAGAAATATTTCAAAGGGTTTTTATCAATATTACAGTGTCAAAACACTTAATACACAACAAAAACCCTAGTTATTTAAAATTTTATGCAATAGATACTTGCACTCTACCATGACATGGTGGCAATATCACTAAAATTTTGGGTCAACGGGAAATGAGATCACCTACTGGTCTTAATGCGGACTTCGACCTATATAATTTTTAATAGCTCCCTTCCTCTTCCCCACTTTATTACGATTAACTATTTTTAACATTTATTATATTTATATTTTATCCCTCGCCTTATTTTTATTATGTATTATTTTTTATTTGTATTAATATAAATCATTTATTATTTATTTTATTGTATTTTTACTGTCAACATATGTCAATCTCTACAATGTGCAATTTTACAAAATTCAAGATTCTATATTTATCAGGTTATATATCAGTATATCTGTTTATAACATTTGCTTTGAGTTCTTTCTAATATATCTGTAATATGGGCCTTTTAGTGCCCTCTACTAAGAGCCTCCACCATTTTATTGGCTTCCTCGCGGAAAATATTTTGTTGGAGCCAAAATCTTTAAATAAAGCTAGAAAAAAAAAAACACACAAAAAAAAACCCACTAGCAGCCATATACAAAATCATTAGTACACACTTATGTTTAGTTTATTTTATATAATATAATATAATATTACTGCTTGGAAGTATATACTTTGGTCTTTTACCTTTTCTAAAAATACCATGTTAATTAATTTGGTTCATGTGATGTCACACAGCAGTTATTTTTGAATTTATCTTCCTTATTTTAAGCAGCTCTGGTCCTTCCTTCTGTAAACACTTTTGAGAAAGCCATTGTATGGTGAAACGCATTAAGTGTAGGCTCCAGTACACATGAGTGATCATTTTTGTTAGCTATATATTTTAATATTGACCCTGGCACATTGCACTATATATCTCTGATTTCTCCTACATATCTGCAAGAAAAGCTGCATTCACAAGAACCTCCTATAGAGTCTGTACTCCACCATACCCTCGGGGGGGGGGGGGATTATTCCACCCAAGCATCTAAATTAGAGCTGCACTTAAGCTCCTATAAACTGTGAGTGCATATCATTATATTTACCCTGACCTTACTGTATTTTTTACGTACTTCACAATCAGTTTCCTAATTTCTCCTCCTTTTTATGGAGATATATATATATATATATATATATATATATATATATATAAATCCAATATATCCTTGCACTCACGCTTTCTGGCTGTTGTTGGCCGGGTGCTTGAAATCCAGGGAAAAATATGTATATTTGTAGATAGTGATCAGCACACTTGGACTTTAAAGATTAAAACTTACTGTTTATTAAATATCCATTAAAAGATCAACGTTTCAGTTCCATCTGGAACTTTCATCAGGATCAGGCATACAATATCACATAAAAAAGTGCATTTATATACATAAAATGTAAGTGAAATTAACAGAAAATGACTTACCCCTGTGCTTAGAATGGTGTGATACCCCTGGCGTCCACCATCATTCCGTGCGCATGCACGGACGAGGCCACGCCCCTACGTAACGTGATGACGTTGCGCCTTGCCGCGGCAACGTTGAAACCACGTGGGGTATAAACAAGGTAGTGACTAATGAATGAACTACTTGTATATCTGGTTGCCATAGCAACCCGGCTCTATATCCAGTGATATTAAAAAATACAAGCACCACTTGATTCAAATAAAGCACACCTACAATTGAGATATTAAATGGAAGGTAGAGTGTACAAAGATATATAATAGTACAATTATGTGCTAAAAGTGCACTGTGAAATATAGAAGCTTAATCTATTCAATAATAATAATATTAGGGTGGCACTTGAAAAAGCCTAATTTGCCTAAAGTGCCAATGTGGACATTGTAAAGTGCTGTGGAATAGATCAGTATATAAAAAAAATTATACTGAAGTGTATATCTATTATTAAAGTGCCATTCTTTCATGTGAATAATATACAAAGTACAAAAAGTGCTAATACCATGCTATAAAGTGCAAAAATGTGCATAATTCATGTGCAATTACTACTTCAATAATAAAACATTATTTATAAAAAACCATCCACTGATATATTGCTATTAAATTGAATCAATATATCAAATGTCCATCTGTAAAAGTACAAAATGATTAAACTAAAAAATGAAACTATTACATACTTTAAAAACATTATTCCTATTGCTTTAGGGATTCTTAATTTAAAGAAACGAATGATAAGAAATCAATTCATTAAGTCCTTTGGGAGCAATCGTATTTAATTGGAAAATCCATTCTGTCTCTCTATTGAGGAGCATTTTGCCACAATCACCCCCTCGCCTGGGTATAGGGATGTGATCTATTGCAATAAATTTCAAGGAAGAGAGTGGGTGTTTCATTGTCAAAAAATGTTGTGCCACAGGTTGTTCTGAATGTCCATCTCTATATGCCACACGTATTGCTGATCTGTGTCCACGTATTCTCTCACACAATGGGGTTTCGGTTTTACCGATATAGACTAACCCACATGGACATGTTAATTTGTAGATCACAAAAGGTGTTTTGCACGTAATTGTGTGTTGTATCCTAAACACCCTATTGCTGTGTGGGCGTTGGAACGATTTTGCTGGAGTCATATGGCTACATGTAACGCACCCTAAACAACGGACGCTACCACGATATTGAATTTCTACTTCTTGGCTGTAGCTTTTAATGGGGTCCGTGTGTACCAAAATGTCCTTTAATGTTTTGTTTCTCTTGAAACAAATTAACGGATTTTCCTTAAACACTTTGGGTAAGGTGTCGTCACTTGCAAGCATTTTCCAATTTTGTTTGACAATTTTAGCTATTTTGGGCGAAGCATCATTATAAGCCATTGGAAACACTATAGCTGGTGGTTTTCTGATCCGTGTGGTGGTACTGGCATTACGTGCATCTTGTTGTGCCTTTAACAACTCCTGTCTATGATAACCTCTTTCAAGAAATTTCTTATTCATTTCTTCCAACTGTTCTTCAATCTTATGTTAATCTGAATTATTGCGTACGACTCTTAAAAATTGTGCCTTGGGAAGGGATTTTTTCAGCATTCTCGGATGTGCACTTTTGTTGTGCAACAATGTATTCCGGTCAGTATCTTTCTTATACAAACAATATGTCACACCATGTTCTTTAATAGATATCTCCAAATCTAAATATTGGACGATGCTTGTACTAATGTTAGATGTAAATCTGACTGGAGTATTAAGTTCATTCAGATATTGAACCATTTTCTGTGCCTCCAATTCCATGCCTTTCCAAAAGATCAACAAATCGTCGATGTAACGAAAGTATGCCGTAATAAGATGGTTGAATTTAGACAAAATATGTTGTTTCTCATAAATGTACATGTAAGAGTTGGCATACATGGGGGCCATCGCTGCCCCCATGGACGTGCCCGCCACCTGTAGAAACCAGTCGTCCTCGAACCTGAAATAGTTATGTTGGAGGGTTAAAGATAACAGTTCCAATACATATTCTATCGGTGGTCCATCATATGTCGTAGCCATACAAAGAGTTTGTCTTATAGCTTCAATTCCTTCTTGGTGTGGAATTATTGTGTAGAGATTTCTAACATCCATTGTAACCAAAATGATGGGTTCCTTGCCTAAGTTTAATGTATGCATTTTCTTTATAAGTGTCGGTGTATCCTTAATGCAAGTTTGTATCTCTGCTATAGGTGCTTGAAACAAGGAGTCCAGCCATTTACTATTGGTTCCAAGATGCCTCCTATTGCTGATACTATAGGTCTCCCCGGTGGTTTAATGGGATTCTTATGTATCTTTGGTATAGTATATATAATTGGAGTCTTTGGATTCCTTTTCAATAAATAGTTGTATAGTTGTAAATCTATAAAGCCTGCTTCAAGTCCCATAAAGAGAGTGTTCTCTATAATTGTTGCTATTTTCTTTGTTGGATCACCTTGTAACTATAAATATACCGTGACATCTTGCAATTGTCGTCTGATTTCTCTTGCATAATCACTGTAGTTCATGACTACGATGCCCCCTCCTTTGTCAGCAGGTCTAATGACAATAGTAGAATCCTCAGCCAAATTTTTAATCATTTTCATCTGTGGTGTGGAGATATTCCTCCTAGAGACTTTGTGATTGCGTATAGTCTCTTGTGTGAGTCGTTCCACTGTAGAAAGGTATGTTTTAATTGAGGCTTTATGGGTCTGTGGATCAAAATCAGATTTAGGTCTAAATTTTGTTGTATATTGATTCGGTATATCAATATTCACTTGAGTCTGTAATGATTCTTGTTCTTTTGGTCTGTAGTAATGTTCCTTAAGACGCATATTCCTCCCAAATTTAAATAGTTCCACATTCCATTTGAACAAATTAGGGGATGCCGTGGGTACAAAAGAAAGGCCATGTTCCAAAATTTGTAATTCTTGTTTGTCCAACACCCTATGAGATAGGTTGAAGATAGGTGTTACTTCCTCATTGGAGGTTTGCCTCGTGTTGAATTTGCCCTTCTGTCCACGTCTTGTTCTCCTCCTACTGCGCCTTTCCCTTGGCTTCTCGTAGTAATACCCATCTCTGCATTCCCTAAAAAAATTATATTATTATTATTGAATAGATTAAGCATCTATATTTCACAGTGCACTTTTAGCACATAATTGTACTATTATATATCTTTGTACACTCTACCTTCCATTTAATATCTCAATTGTAGGTGTGCTTTATTTGAATCAAGTGGTGCTTGTATTTTTTAATATCACTGGATATAGAGCTGGGTTGCTATGGCAACCGGATATACACGTAGTTCATTCATTAGTCACTACCTTGTTTATACCCCACGTGGTTTCAACGTTGCCGCGGCAACGCGCGACGTCATCACGTTACGTAGGGGCGTGGCCTCGCATGTGCACGGAATGATGGTGGACGCCAGGGGTATCACTCTCACCATTCTAAGCACAGGGGTAAGTCATTTTCTGTTAATTTCACTTACATTTTATGTATATAAATGCACTTTTTTATGTGATATTGTATGCCTGATCCTGATGAAAGTTCCAGATGGAACTGAAACGTTGACCTTTTAATGGTTATTTAATAAACAGTAAGTTTTAATCTTTAAAGTCCGAGTGTGCTGATCACTATCTACAAATATATATATATATATATATATATATATATATATATATATATAAATAAAATGAAAAAATATACCGGCACTCCAATAGCTCCCCATAAGGAGCTTTCATCAGGATACTCCTTAGGGGAGCTGAAACGTTGATGTATTTCTCAGAATAAAGAAGATGACGTATTGAAAATCCTTGGAGTGCTGGTATATTTTTTCATTTTATATTATTGAGCAACCAGAGCACCGGGTAATTTAAAAAACTCTTTTGGTTGGAGAGCAGGGGTTAACTATATATATATATATATATATATATATATATAAATACAGGCAACCCCTGCACTCCAACATAAATAGAAAACAGTACCCGGGGCACTGGTTGCTCAATTTGTAGAAAAAGGAAAAATACCGTCACTCAAGGATTTTTGAAAATTCACTAATCCATTTATTGTGGAAGAATCAAAATCCACAATTCTTCCACAATAAATGGATTAGTGAATTTTCAAAAATCCTAGAGTGCCGGTATTTTTCCTTTTTATATATATATGTATACACACACACATATACATACACATACATACACACACATATACATATATACACATATACATACATACACACACACTCCAAAGACATTCCAGGCACTGCACCCACCTCTGTTTTTATCTGCTTCTCTACGGGACAAGAGAGACCCCAGATTTGGTGACCTAGCTGCCCTTTGGACTGTACCAGTACTGGAGAAGCACTAAATATTCTCTTGCTTTTATTCAATGTTTTCAACAGCCCAGAGCTCACAGGAGCCATACACCAGGGCTGCAGACCAAGGCACTTTACCAAGTGCCTGGTTTAACATTATTGTAATAGAAGCAAGGAAAAAAGAGAATTGGAGAGGGTAACAATCGGTCCAAATCAGCGAGACTCTGATGAGCTAATCCCCAAAACGTGCGTCAGGGTGTTCAGGGCTATCTCGCCGATTTGTACCGATAAGAAAAACTTAGGGCTATTGTGCTTCTCTTAAATACCACTATTTACAATGCCTAGACTATATTTTATATTAATTTTAGGGACGATTAGGGCTATTTTGCTATAACTATACCTCATTCCTTAAGCGCACAGGACTGATATCTGGGCGGGACATTTATATTGCCAGTCTCTCTATATTTATTGTATAATGTAAACAATGCTTGCTCATTCATAAGTAATTAGGGATAACTCTGGACTATTTAATTTGAGACAGTAACTGTCAGGTATCCTCCCATACAGTACAGCAGACAAAGTGCTATCTGTTACCACTAGGTGGCTGCAGGGACGTTTTATGGGCGGCATTTTCCAGGGGGCGGCAAAAAAAGCCGCTCCCCAAATGCCCAGGGCAAATGCCTTATTAACCTCGCAGCTAACTGACATGCCGGGCAGGGCGGCTGCTGCCGAGGGTGCTCTTCCTCTGAGCTCTCTGCTCAGTTCCCTCGCGCGCCGCAGAGTGATGCTGGGAGCCGGAATATGATGTCATATTCCGGTTCCCAGCCTCACTCTGAGGCGCGCGAGGGAGCTGAGCAGAGTGCTCAGAGGAAGAGCTCCCTCACCAACTGCCCGCCCAGCGCCCCCCCCCCCGACCGCCCAGCAGCCACTGGACCCCCAGGGAGATAGAGAACCTCTCCCCCCCCCCAGCACTCCCAAAGATAAGGAGGCTGGGGTGGGGAAGTTAAAAAAAATAAATGTGTTAATGTGAGTGAGTGAGTGTGTGTGTATGTCTTTTAGTGTGTGTGTGTGTCTGTTAGTGTGTGTGTGTATGTCAGTGTGTGTGTGTATGTATGTTAGTGTGTGTGTATGTCTGTTAGTGTGTGTGTGTGTGTGTGCGTATGTCTGTTAGTGTGTGTATGTCTGTTAGTGTGTGTGTGTGTGTCTGCTAGTGTGTGTCTGTTAGTGAGTGTGTGCTTGCCTGTGAGTGTGTGTGTGTTTCAGTGAGTGTGTGTGTCTGCTAGTGAGTGAGTGTTTTTGCGTGTGTGTATGTTTGCCAGTGAGTATGTGTGTGTCTGCTAGTGTGTGTCTGTGTGTGTCAGTGAGTGTGTGTTTCTGTTAGCTAGTGCATGCGTATCTGTCAGTGAATGGGTGTGTGTGTGTGTGTATTTAGAAGGCGGGGCGGTGGGGAAGGGATGGGTAGGGGTCGCGCGCGAGGGGGGGGTTGGGGGGCGCCTGAGTTTTGTCCTGCCTAGGCCAGCACAAAACCAGGATACACCACTGGGTGGCTGTATTGAGACCAATCATGCTACACTAAGCACAATATCTTAAGAGTTAATATCTTTAGCCCGGTCACAGTATTTGGTTGATCCCAGTGCAGAGAGACCGAGAGTACTGATATAGATTTCCGCCCAAATATTATTTAAGTGATTCGTGTTATCGCTGTACCATGTCAATCTAAGACAGCAACTGTCAGGTATCCCCTTATACAGTACAGCAGACAAAGCGTTAACTGTCACCATCAGTTTGCTGCACTGAGATTAATCACGTTACACAGCACGTCATCTAAAGTGTTAATCTCTACAGCCCGGTCACAGCATTTGGGAGATCCCAGTACAGGTGGACCGAAATTACGGCAATATATCTCCGTCCCAATATATCTGGAGGAAGGGCAATTCAGTTTAGAGTTACACTCTTTACTTTATCTCGTGCTGTACTCTATTACATAGTAGAGTACAATTTATACCACAATACCTGCCCGTACTGCAATCGCAGACATAATTGAGATCTAACGATCTAGCACAGATATATTGTAGCATTCATAGACCTATTAGCCCAATCTTCACATTAGTTACAAGGTTTTGTGTTGTTGTTGGGGTTTTTGTAACAATATCATTTTGGTTCACCTGGTTTCACTGAGCATTACTTTAGGAACAGCTACCCAGCTGTTAAGCCTTGTTACACTAGCTTCACCAGTGAATGTTACATTACAATAGCTTCTCCTACTAACGTATATCAGTATTCACCTTATCCATGGCTATGAGAATATAGATAGCATTGAGCCACCCATATCTATATATTGGCTACCACTAGCCATTTCTATCAGTACATTTTTTAGATCTATTTATATTCTCATATTTATTATTTTTTCCTTATTTTCACATACATCACTTATAGTATATAGTTCACTGTGTGCCGTGTGCTTTTTGTCCAACTCGGACTTTTAAATTATCAAATAAATATTTGGTTTTAGATGCTGTACTTCTTGTTATCCTCTCCAATTCTCTTTTTTCCTTGTTAGTATTCCCACAGGGGTTATTCCCCATTAGGAGAGGTGTGACTTCAGGCTCCACTCTTCAGCTTATTATATAATTATTGAAATAAACTCTACAGTTCAGTGTCTGACAAGTGATGTCTGCCTGGCGCCTACATTTATTAACAGAGATAATCACCATTGTAGTCAAGTGCATGCTGGCTTGTCAAGATTGAGGCATACCTCTTAAGTGAGTCCTGCAGTATGTAACTTATAGAGGAGGCGTTGTGAACTGCACATCAGTCACATGACTCCATGAAAGAGAGTTCATATTTTACTTTTCTGACAGCCTTTATATTTTTTTCTAATACTCTCTCATATTAATAAGTGATTGTTATCAGTACCCCACATTCTTTTTCTCCCACTATTTTTGTGTTATAACAGGTTTCTAATCTTGTATTGCTTCTAAAACTATATAAATTATGGATTTCTTGTTTTGTTCTATATATCAGGTACTAACTGGATGATAGAGATTTTGAGCTTGCTCAAGCAAGGTGGAGACCCAGGTTGGTGTAACAATGTACCCATCTGGCTACGGTCTCCATGGTATGAAACTAAAGAAGGTCAATCACAAATAAAAGATGTCATTTCACCACGGGTATTGACTTCTCATCTACCAATCCAAATTTTTGCCAAGTCTTTCTTCAATTCAAAAGCTAAGGTAAGTGAATAAATAAAACTAATAGTGATGTCCTGAACAGTTCGCCGAACGGTTCGCCGCAGACGGCGAACACAAACATACACTTTGACCCTGTACCTCACCGTCCGCAGAAACATTCCAGCCAATCAGCAGCAGACCCTCCCTCCCAGACCCTCCCACCTCCTGGACAGCTCACTAAGAATGCAGCTTCACAATGAATGTAAAATGGATGCTGTCCAGGAGGTGGGAGAGTCTGGGAGGAAGGGTCTGCTGCTGATTGGCTGGAATGTGTCTGCTGACTGTGAGGTACAGGGTCAAAGTTTATGTTTATGTTCGCCGTCCGCAGCGAACCGTTCGGGAACCGTTCGGGATATCACTAAAAACTAAGCAATAAGTGTATAAATGTATGCTTTCAGTTTAGTTGGTTGTAATTTATGGATGCCAATAAGTACAAAACCTTT